CACATAATTGACTTAAACTCGGCTTCTACTCCTATACTGGTTCCCAAACATCTATTACAGAGTGCTAATTTCTTACTTATGACAACATCATTGGTAGGTGTTGTTGTTGTTGTTCTCAGGAAACCTCTGTTATGCAACAGCTTGTGTTTGAGGTGTTTATATCATCAAAGAAGGTTAGAATATGATATGGCACAATTATTACCCAGTATAAACAAACTGCTGGCATCAGTACCAGCATTCCGCTATTAGACAATTACCCTGCATGCTGGGAAACATTTTCTCCTATTAACCCCATGCAATACAAAACACTGAAAAAACGTTTTAAAAATCCATGTGAAAACCTGTTTACTTTATTTCTTGAACTCATTATAAGCCCACAGGCTTCATGATCTGTTTTTACAGATCACACACACTAAAATTACTCAACTAGAGGGGAACCGGTCTTAAACAGTCAACATAAATGTAAAAATAATAGTAAAAACACAGTAAAACTTATGACTAAATCATATCCAACAAAATCATAGGATACGTTGAATAAAGGATGGAAACTTTTGGAAAAGTTGTATCATATTAAACAGAGAAACTTCTTCAAGTAAATGCATCATTATAAAAAACCTACATAGGGGTTCATGGTCACTTTAGCACAATACAGTTCTAAGCATAGAATTACCTATATTGACAGACCACCTGACTTAAAAAGCAATTCCTGTCCTAATACTGATTATAACGACAGGTACATGTACTATGACCTTAAAACCTATAAAGTGTCAACTCAGAACTGGAAACGTACAGGAAAAGTTCTCTTTAAGGGTGAATTAAGTCAAATAAGAGTAATCCTAGAGTTAGCACCTTGCACTTAAAGAATTAGCAAAGTATGTTTTGCATGTTAGGAACATTTTGATATAGTCATGATGGCTAAAAAAAAATCTGATTATCGGCTGGTGTTTGCAGTCTTGCATAAATAGATTCTTAACAGCTTCATGAGCATGTCATTTATTGCATAATCTGCATGCAATTTAGTATATCTCTATATTCAATCTCTTAAAACTTTCTTTGTCTTAAAACAAAAGCTTGAAAATGATTTAAATGGGTTACGGCCAGACTGAATCATCCTTGTTTACATATTAGGCACATACAACTGTATGGCTAATGCCATGAAAGGTTCCTAAAAACTCGAGAGAATTTAGACCAGTGACAGACATCAAGCTTTGATTTCAATCAAACTGTCCAAAAATTCATTGAATTAAGTGCATTAAAACATTTGTCTCTTATTTAAGTTCACTCGAGATGGTCATTAATCCATTTTTTTTTCACAACAATTTGACAATAAATCCCCTTAATTTCGCATTCCAGCAAGTACTTTGCATAAAAAATTTGAAGAGCTAAAAGGGGAGGTAATATCTCATTACTAATTTCCTGTTTTTCTCCAGGACCCACTTTAGGGTCATAAAAATCATCCTCCACTTTGCCAATAAAACACACATATAACTACATTTTCCCCTAAATTGTTTTAATTTTCATGTAGAAATCAATGGGCTACAAAAAAACACACAGTCACAAGCTTCTGTGAATCATCCATTTTTAACTTTTTTAATCAAATCTTCTTTTTTAATTCGGGGGGTTAAGCTTCAGAGTTATAAAGGTCAAAGATTTCATTTACAATGCATTTCAAGTTGGGCTAGAGTTCTTAATGATATTAGATAACTGTGTGACCTTAAAGTATGTAACAATCACTTATATAAAATGACATAGTTTGGCAGAAACTTAATTTACCCATGCTACCAGTGCAGACCAAACTAAGCCAGCATGTCCAATGCAGTCTAATAATGGTCTGCACAGTTCATTATTCAGTCAGTTCATATTTTGAAATGCTCCTTAAAAATCATTAATGGTTTTGTCCAGATTGAAAGATGGGCAAGTCCAGTTAAGATATTTAGTATGGTATGAGTTGCTGTTCTTACAACAGTTATTTAGACAATAGAAAACAAAAGATAAAAAATACTTCCTATAACATCTCATGGTTTATCAAACAATCAATGAATCAATGGGAAAATTAATTAAGAACATAAAGAGCTCTATAAACGATTTATTACGCTATCTCATAAAATGTTTATACGCGTCATAAAACAAAAATATACGACTTGTATTAAGTGATATTAGACAGAAACAAATCACGCGTAAAATTTATCACCGTCGACCTTTAAGTCGTAGTTTTAAGAAAATTGTGTAATTAACGACCTGAGGAATCAGATGGCCGATATAAATTTTCCTTATCTTAAAACTCCTCTAAAGGAAATTACCATCCTCGGAACAAAACTGCTTGCATGCAAATGTATAATAATCAATATCCCCTTCGCGAGTCAATGACAGATATACACTCAGCGATTTCGTCTTAAATCGTTTGTACAACCGGACTTGGTAATCGGAACTTTGCGTGTTTATGTACGTACTGTTATAGAAAACATACAGGCTATTATCTTTTCTCGGAACAATTGTAATAAATGCCACAATCTATACTATTATATGGAACCAAATCTATCTTGGAGCAGTTACCTATCAACATTTGTCAATCTTAATCAATATAGTAGTTAATAATATATTATTAAGCAAAAAGAAAAATACAAACACTTGAGCTAATTATACCGGTGAAAAAAATAGCAAGAACAACAAAAAATATCAACAAAATTGCAGTATGCATCAAGAGTAATCAAGAGTAATGCTATGCCTTTTCGTTTTTGTGTTTTTCTTTTCTTCTTCTTTTTTCAAACAAAGTTCTGATGGTTTTCCATTCTTAAGACCATTCTTATGTTAATTTAAAATATTCATTTATTGATGCAGAAAATTTCAAGATATGTATCATTCCAAAAATTTCATTTTCCAGAACAGTTGGCCTACGTAAAGTAAATCTTCCTAACATACATACATTGCATACATGCTGATCAAAGAAGCATTTCATATGGTAATAATTTAGTCATCTGCTACCTTATTAAAGTAATAATTCAATACTGGAGCATAGCAGTTCCTGGAGGCTTAATTAGTCATTCTTGATTAAGGTTAAATGCAATTTCATAATCAAATATCAACAACAATTTTCCTAGAAATTTTATAGGGAAAAAAAAATCAACATTTTTTTATCTAGAAATAATTAGCAGTCAATCACTTTTTATGTCCCAATGGTAGGTCGCTCTTAAGCTCTATTACATCAAAAAAAACCCCTAAAACTTCAGAGGATTCTATTAATCGAAAAATAGTAACCATGGCAATAGAATTAACCTGCTTGTTAATAAGCCATAAATGTGCAGAAATAGTAAAGCTAGGAGTTAAATCCGCAATAAAAGTCATGCCGGAAACTTGTAAAGATCCTATCATAGCCAAAATGATCCCAATGCCGTGCATTCTTTTAATATTCTGCAAGGTCATTCTGCAATTCTGTCATACCCATTCTGTCACTATCTACACTATAAAATTTCAGATTTTTTCAGTTTTGTGTTTTCTGTAAAGACTTCTTAGAAATCTCAGAATGACAGCAACTTTTGCTTGTTGGTGCAACAAAAGAAATCCATGAAAATTAATGCAATTCTGCTAACCTCTTGCAACAATGCCATAACTTGTTTATTTCATTCATCAACTTACTACCGTCTTGCAGTAAAACCCAAAACCAAGTCAAAAGTTGAAGGTTGATTGCAAAACTCTTGTAACTATATGTGTATAAAGACTAAGATACAATAGTTTCATGATCAACTTCTCGATACAGGATGCATATTTACACAATTTTGATGTAAAACACAATTACCATTATTTCAAATTTCTACTTCAGTATGTATCTTAAAATCTCACTTTTCCAGACAAATAAGTCATAAACAAGCCTTCCAGAAGACATTTTGACAACAAGTTAAGTGAAATATCTATCTTGTGAAGGTGCTAAATTTGATTTAACTCAAATTAAACAGTAACTAAAGGCATAAAATGTGATCCAAACACTTGAGCCTATCTGTGAATGCCAATGAAACTCATCAGAGCAAAAGAAAATGCATCTAAAATTCCCATAATTTTTGAAATTATTATGTTTTTATCATTTTAATATACATGTACTTCAGTTTTCCTTTCATGTATTCATACAAACTAACATATTATACACATTTTCAACACCATGGTTTTCTTTCAGTTAAACTCTAGTTCAAAAGGGAAATTTTCAGACCAGTCTTACAATGCATAACTTTCATTGGTCAATTTCAAATTTGAATTCTATAACTGACCAATCAGATGCATGCAGCCATTTGAACATTAAATTCAAAACCAAGCCTGCAAAATAAATATGCATTAAATGTGCTTTTAGGGTTTTGCTCTACTTTGCAAATTTATTCAATCTCTAGTAAAATCACTATAATATCAGGTTACACAGAAATCAAAAGCAAGAAGACAATTCTTTAAGACAATTCTGCTCTTTTTTTCAAGATATCTCAGAATAAATTCTGACAGCTTATGTATAAAATGATTGAAACCAATGCTATGTTATATGCCAGTTCACATCAACCTTGATTTATGCTACTTTTACAATTGTATATAAAATGAAATTCAAAATAAGACTTTATGACATTTCTGAAGAGTACCGTCATATCATTAAGAGCACTTGAAATATTTCTGAATTTTTTATTGCCATTGAAAGTGATCAATTAATATATAGGCCTGAAACTCTGTGTAAAAAGAAATTCTTTCAAAATGTCAAATTTTATGTATTTTACCCATAATGTCCCTAAGTACTATAAATATCAAACATTATTGCCAATACATAAATTTCAGCTACTTGGTCAGCCTTCTTAAAGATAATTCAATATGTAAGTGAAAGACATAAATGTCATTTTCATGGTAAAACCTTTCAATTTCATCATCATCAAGTGCCTATCTGTCCAAATTTTTGTTGGCATTAGACCCTTCTACAAATGAAATTGGAAGGTCTATTAATAATATTACGATGGGGATGATGTAAATTAAAATCTTACCTTGGTTGATGTATAAAGAGGTTAGCAGAATGAAAACGAACACTTCCAGTTTGTTATTCCTCTGCCCCATAGCTTTAAACTGGGGCTTGTTTGCTCATTTTACATAGTAACTCCCAATCTGAAAATATATATAAACATAACATAAACATATTTTTTACAAAACTGTCTTACAACTTTCATATGAGATAATCTGCAAATTTATCAAAACAAATACATTACATCACTGATTATCAGGAATGATCTTTATTTGTTTTAATAAGATCATGAATTAAGACAGAAGCCATACTTTTATTGTTTGTTTTACAACCCCACATTTCAGAACCAGAGTCAAGATTAAAAATTTCAATAGCAGAATGGTTTGAGACTATTAAAATCAACACCCTTTTAAAAGAGTATAATATGTTTATTGTTTGTGTGATTTTTCTGTGTATAATTTCCTGCTCATGACTATCTTTCTTTCATAATTATATACATATAAATATATAAAATTGATAAAAATGTGCTAGAACAAGGAAGATCCGAAGAAAAAAATAAAGTTTAAGGTTACAATCATTTTACCAGTGTGCAATATTTTACACTTTCATTATGACTTTAAATCTGGCATCTCAGAAACTCAGAAACAGTAAATACAACTAAATACCTATTGTTACCTCCCTCTACTTACAATTGATCAATATTAATAGTGTTGTTTAATCAAGATTAAAAAAAGAAATTAAAGATCAGATAAAGATGGCTTTCCAGATGACCACACTTTATCGCTTTTTTATGTCAATCACATAAATTTAAAATACTTTTCCGACTAAATTAAGACAACTTAAGACTGAAATGGGGAACATCTTTCTATTGTAACCAAATTAGACAAAGTGACATATTAAGGTCAAGATGCCATTTAAGTTTAACGATTGATCTAAAACGTTCTTTCTCAAATTTCTCCGGATTAAAATGTATTGTATAGTCATTCATCTTCTTGTGACATTATATTCTCTCGTATAACCAATGCATTACACCGTCCAAACACGGCATGACAATAGCCTGTAATTTGCTCCCTCTTTAAAACGTACAACTTAAACACAACTCCTATCTATTATTTTGCTTGAATGAAATGCTTTAAAAGCCTCTAAGTCACTAAATAAGCTAAATTTGTAAATAATGACATTAGAAATACAAAAATATTTGCTGGGCGGAAAACGAGACATGGTGTCTGTAGTAACTTCACTATCGATAAATTTTCATTCGTTAAACCTCTAATTTGCATCCAGTTAGATTTAAATGTTGTCTTTATGCAATATCTAAATTAAAGCCATCTCAACTCTCCCTTTTGGGTATTCCCTTGATATGAAAATTTTGACATTAAAAAAAAAAAATTCAAATTTCAAGGTTTTTTTTTTGTCGGTTGTATTTAAATGACTTCTAGAACTAATCAAGAATTTTAGCAATTTTTTTTTGTGTGTGCAAAATTTCATGTCTCAAACACACAATAATTAGCCTAATGAATTAAGTCTACGGAATGTTCCTGCATTCAATTACCAATTATCCAACAGCAGATTAAAGGATTTTAATCTGAAAGTACTAAAATTGAGAAAGCATCACGCTCTTATTTGACTCAAAAAATTCAACTACAGAAAGTTTCTCACCAAGAACTGACCTTATTCTATACTTATCTAGCTTTAAAGATGTACTACAGTCAACTATGATAATTTAACATATTGTATCATTCATAAAAATTTAATGCTTTTTTCAAATTCATGAAATTTCGATGCATCTACATTCCATGCAGATTTCAAACTTTTGCTTACACAAACCATTAAATAGCATCAAAACAATAAATAATAGTAAATACAAGTGTATCTCTAATGCACCCAAAGAATAACAATTTACAGCAAAGATCTCAATCATTTATGACAATGAAATCTTACAAATTTATACCGCATTTCATTTAGCAAAACATCATGCCTCGATCAGTTTTTATTTTATTTTAAAATCATTTGATTGTCAGTTTTGATACCAGTTTGTTATATTGCAAAACGGTCATAATTTTGAGAAAATAAAATTCATCAAAATCAACGCATGATATGAAAATTCAGCACTAAAAATTTAAATGCATTTGAATACGCAGGCACATGTTCAAACTGCCGTTCATTTTCTCACAAACTTTTGCCCGAGAGATAACAATCAAATACGCCTCTATAAAGAAATATATTACATAAAAGCTACTCACGTATAATTAATAGCAAGCCACAAAACATTTCAAATCAATTTATAACATTTTTTTTATTTTCACATAAACATGTTTGGTAATCATTGATGCCGTAATAAAAAACAGTCCAAATTATGTCGGTCACAGTTGAAATATTCAACATTTTATGGGATAATCTTGATGTTATCGTATAATTATATCCAAATAATACTATAGTTATAACACAAGTATTTTACTTAAGATATTTTACTATTATCACTAACTAAGCTAAATATCTTAAATGAATTAACTAGTTCCATCTTCCGATTGATTAAATATATAACGAATTGCAATTTCAATCATTAAATGGAAATATGAAAAAAATAAAAATCAAAAAAATTGGCAGTCACTAAGATAAGCACGTAACCCACAGGACATAACAATCAGCAAACCAAGAAGAAAGTCTTAGTTAACTTTGAATGCTCTTTAATTTGTTACATTGAAGGCAAAATGAAATTTTGCTGACCACAGCAAATTTCTCATTTATTTAATGTGGAACAAGAGAGTGGGCAAAGTGACTCATGGAGCTATTCAAATAACCATTTGCATAATTTTATTATAGTTAAAAGTAAAAAAAAAAAAAATTTTTTATAAAAACATAAGAAAATTCTGATCCAAATGAGTAATTATCATTGATGTCTCAAAGTTTTTCGCAATCATGCACTTCTCCAAAACAAAGAAACAACCAAGCACAAATTTTACAAACAAAAAATTAAAATTGTTTCCTCAGAATGAACAATTTTAATTAATTAAAACATTTTTGTAACAATAACCCCCTGACATTGTAATTTCCGAATGTTAACCTTTAAAATGTCATCATTACATATGCGCTGATCTTTTAATGATTTGTGCACTTCTTATGCATGGTTTTTGCTGACAAGGTTAAATCATTATTCTAATTATAAATGTTTCAACATAACTCAGAGTCTTTGTTTTCAACAACAAAAAAATGTTGCAACAAAAAAGAACATGCTGATGAACATTTTTTGTTAATATTTATTCAGCCCACGGTATTGAAATAACGTGAAAGAATGTAAAGTTGTGACAAAAAAATGTTTTGCAACTGTAGTAAAAAGAGGCCATTAGGACATTAAAGATTTTGTTATCAAATTAAATATCATATTTTAAACATAACTCCTATAACATACACGTTTAACCCTTACCCTGATGGCTGCCATAGACTCTACCCATATGACCAGTGCGAGTAAAACAAGACTTAAAAGCAATCCAACAGAAAAATGTTAATGTATCAATACTTTTGTATGTTCAAACATCAATCTTCAAAGGTGTTAAAATGACATTATTGTTTTAGGTCAAAGTTCATCAGATATAGCCAGATATCTTAGCTTCATGTCTGCTTCCTCCATCATGACAGCAAGATAACCTCATAAAATACATTAGCTATAAAAACAAGTTTTTTTCGGTTTTGTTTTTTAAATTCCATTATATTTCCATGTTTGAAATCAGAGTGATTTGAGGCGCAGAATAGGTTTAAAAAACAGGAAATCATACAGTTAAGGTCATGAAAAATATTGTTGTAGAAGTCATTTAATAAATCCAATGTTGGACTTTCTTATAAAAACAAAGAGAATATCCATTATAATTATTAAAAGGTCAATACAAAAATGAGCAATGAAAAATGGTTACGGAATAAGTGTTATGGAAGTTCTGTAGGATGAAAGAACAACTTTGCTCCATCTAAATGCAATAACAACATAGGTAAGTTCAAAACTAAGCTTTGTAGACCTTGAATGTCAACATTTTTGTGTACCGAATAAGGGTAACACAATTATGGGTCAGAGTTCTTGCAATTCAGAAACCAAAGCACACTTTCGTTAGATATATAGATCACTATAGTATCCTTGCATAGAATCCACTAAGATAATTTTGTAACACTTAAAGAAACTCCACTGAATCTCACATTTTTAAAAACATTATAAATTTTTACAGTATTATCCCTCTGAGTTTGTATTGTTTTTGTTTTGGAAGGGAAAAAAACTTGTAAAACATTAGATTTTATGTTTTTATACATTACACTCCACATGAGTAAGTGGGGATGAATGTCACAAACTTCTCTCCTCAAGCTGGAAGATTAACTTAATTTCCATGTTTCATGTCCCCAGGAATAACTGCGAAATGATTTACGACCGATAAAATAACATGGAGAGAGTATGTGTCTGCATAACTAATAGATAATTAACATAGCTCCTTAAAAAACACAAGTCTGTATCTCCTTACATAATATTCACCCAATCTTAGATGGTGAACATAGCTGCCTATGAATTGCTACTTAATCAACATCATTCCATTATCTTAATGAAAATCTGTACCGTCAGTTTCTTCAGTTTACAGTTATTTAGATGTAAATCTATCAACCTTACTTGTGCAACATTAACTGTGACAATATTGTTTCATATGTTTGCCAATTTTGTCTATAAGGAAACATTGCTTAATTAGAAGGGTATATTTTTAATTCATTTTTGGTCATTTTATAAGATGAAGAAGTATAAGCAACTTTCATGACTTTCAATGTACATAGCATGTTTCTTTACACACTAAACACATGTCTACCTTAGATATATCACAGTTGTGCAACTTACTTTTCTAAAAAATCATGTACATTTTATTCCCACAATTGATTTTAAACAACAGTGGCAGTCAAAATATACTAATGTACAACCAATATTAATTCTTATGTAAAATAGATATTCACATGCAACTGGCATAGGACTTGAACTAAAGCATTCAAGATCAGTTGAACAAATACTTTCCCCAAGTACTTCTTGACTTATACCTATCCTACTCATGGTATACCAATCTTGTAATCAACTGAATGAGATTTAATAAGACTTAATGCAAAAAAGATGACATTATACAGGTAT